TTTTTTATTTATTTATTTTCAAGTTCTTCTGGTCAAGTAGTCGTGATGTAATTACTTCTAGCAATATATCAATGTAATTGATTTTTTAAACTGGAGTTATAGAGACTGTCTTTGTTCAAACTACAGAATGCATTTTATCAATTGGATTTTGGTAATATCCGACAACATTAAAAAGTGGTAGTAAATGATGATAGCCATGTTATATGCTGCAAAAGGTGGATCATGGCAGCATTTTACCATTATCAAGTAATATGGCTTTTAGATACATGCAAATTTAAGAATGAATGTATCTATTCAATGCTTTGTCTTGATTTTATATTTATCAACCTTCCTCATACATGTGTTATTAATTATCTCATGCCTTCATCTATTTTTACCCATATTAATTTATACATGGAAATTCATATTTTGTCTGCATTAGTGCTTCATTTACCGCTTGCATGTTTCCTCTGGTCTAGTTTATCTCTTTCTTCCTACAAATATTGCATTGTCGGTTGGGCTCTCCCTCATTGGAAGAATCAAATGAATTGGATGAATCACCACATCTATATATTATGCCCTTGTTTGAGCCCCATTTTTGTCATAAAAATGCATTTTTGAATAGTGTATTGGTGTTAAATGTGTGGTTAAAAAATAAGGAAAAGTTATGGATTTACGTGTAATATTATTTTATTGAAGAATGCGGGCTTGAAATAATGTCAAAACACTATTTAAGTATGCATTTTTTCCCCAAGAATGTGACTCAAACAAGGTCTATATAGCAGCCAATTCAGGATGTCTGATTATTAATCCTTTGAAATTGGTTTGAAAAAGCTAGGTCTGACTTGAAGCACAGTATTGGCATACGTAGTCTATAAGTTTTCGTTTGCATTTTCTAGAAAGCAAATTTTCGTTTATGCTTTTACTGAATTATATAACATTTGTTGGGGAGAGGATCTATGTATATTTGGTTCTGTGCTATAATCAGATGTCTTCTGCCAATTTAGAGTTATCTTCCTTTGTTAAAATCATTTTGTGTTTTCTGAAAGGTTTTATTCTACTTTCTTACAGGTTCTCAAGACACCTGTCTCATTGGATATGCTTGGTCGCATATTTAATGGTTCTGGAAAACCCATTGACAATGGTCCTCCAATTTTGCCAGAGGCTTACTTGGATATTTCTGGCATGTATTCCTAGAATCAAATTTATATTTTTGTTTATATGAATTGCCTGTCCACATGTGATGTTGCTCGTATTTTGTTTACTTCAGGTAGTTCTATTAACCCTAGTGAGAGAACCTATCCTGAAGAAATGATCCAGACAGGAATTTCAACAATTGATGTCATGAATTCAATTGCTCGAGGACAGAAAATTCCACTTTTTTCTGCTGCTGGTCTTCCTCATAATGAAATAGCTGCTCAGATCTGCCGTCAGGCTGGTTTGGTGAAGCGTTTGGAGAAATCTGATAATCTTCTTGGGGTATACTGAACGTCATAATAAATGTTTTACGTCTAAAACTCGAACAAATT